GTCCCCCCCCCCCCCCTTCCCCCCGCACTGCAAGGGTTAAATGCCTGTGTTAAGTCTAGGGGTAGAGGAATAAGCTGTAATACATATCTCATTCCTCTTCTCCCTGATGCTCTGGGTTGTGGGCGGTCCCTCACCATCCTCACGTATAATGCAGGGCTTTTGGCCCCCAGAATGCAACCACAGCTGGAGAAAGCAGAGGCTTTGGGGACCGGTTGCACAGTTGAACGGAGCTTCCTGGAACAGGGAATTAGGTAAGTATGACACCTTATCTCTCCCAGACTCATTTAACATTTAGCTCTTGCAGTGTGGGGGTGCTTCACTGCAAGTGTAGTTTTTGTGCAATTCTCAGAGTTCTACTTTACAGCTAAGCTCTGGGAAGTAAGGAAATAAAAAAGATTACCCTTGCGATGGGTCCTCATCTATACTGCAAGCATTAACTGCTTCTTTTGCCTAGGGGGTGATGGGTAAAATTATATACGTAACCTATTTTTTGCTCTCCTCTGCTGTCCAACATCCTGGGTTTTAGACTGGCCCTCGGCAGCCTCAGGTACAATGCAGGACTGTTGATCCTGCATTGAATGGGATGACACTATAGAGCTGCTACCACTTGGGTATTGAAGAAAAGTGGCATCAGGGGGACCAGTCTTACAGCAAGAGTGAAGCCTATGGGAGTAATAAGGTAAGTATATCCCCTTATTTATCATCCCCTATGCAAACTGAGCAGTTAAGGGAGGAGGAGTACATAACTCAACTAAATTGTGTTTTCTCTAACTGCCTACAGGCAGCTTCACGTTCTTTTAGAATTCACCATAATAAATTACTACACAGAGGCATGAGATTTTCTAATCATAACTGCGTTAGGATCAGCATAAAATCAAGATAAAAGAATAAAGTTTGCAGGTATAATAAGAATATAAAGATAGTAATCTAAATATGGTGATGGAATATTGAATTCATTTAGGTTTTAATAACAAAATCAATCAGCTGTATTGAAATAAATCAGCCTTACATAGCAGTAAAGTTGGAGGGAAGCATCTTTATTAAAAGCTAGAAGAAACTTTCATGCTTAAAAGCTTTTTATATTCTGTGAGGTGTTTACATGCACAGTGTGGTGAGATATGATGGTAAGAAATTATTGTGGTGTGTTAGTTCCCATTTTTGGGCCCGCGTGAGTTAAGCTACAATCCTAAAAGTACTAAGTACAAGAAACAAGTCGAATTTTAGAGGAACATTACCTCACCATGTTTTCAGTGAGAAAGCTCCAATTAAACATTTCTAATCAATTGATTTGCCATGCTTCACTTGCAAATTGAACTGTGTGTATTTTCAGCTGAGGGCAAATGCATTATTCAGGAGAAGATTCAATGACACTCTAGAATTATTGTGTGAGGGAGACGCACTCTAGAATTATTAGGCTTTTGTGTATGGAGGGTTCATAACTGATCTGCTTTTTATGTGACCTTTTAACTGCTCAGATTATTAATTATATCTATTGAATGAATTAGTTTGGTGCTTACACTCTGAAATGGGAAAAGCCAAAGGCTATCTTTATTCATGGCTGCAATGTCAGGCTTAGGTAGGCAGCACTAAGTTGAATGGCCAATGGATTCTTATATCTTTTTGAGACTGACAAGACTTTCCAAGTCGTTTAGGGTCTCCATCCCCTTCTACAAAGGCATAAGGCAGGTGCCATTTTCTGTCTTCTAGACTCTTCAGTCAATAGTTTTTTTTTATACTATATTATGCATCCTTCAGGCAACAAATACTGTTAAGTTTTGTTATTGGGTGAATCTTCTGGTAGGGATATCCCGCTGAACATGTACCCTTAAAATATAAGAAACAAACAGGCGATTCAATTTGCCAATAGCCACATAAACCTAAATATTTGTTCTGTGACCCTAAAAGTGGTAATCTTAAAAGCCAACAGCAGTTTTTGAATGCAAGCATCTAAAGGTCTCTGCAAGCATGTTTTCTTAAAGTGTCCTAGAGGTGCTTTAATATATGCTGTTTCTCAACCAGCTCCTATGGTTGAGAACTTGGGCTCACCTCCTTGTCCTTCCTGAATGATTATTGAATAAATTTGATGAACAGCCTTTCTACTAAAAAGGAGTTGGAGGCAGAAAGTGGAAAGCCAGAGGTCTTCACCATAAGAGTTGGTCAAGATTTGCATTACAAGAGCACCCTGGGTTGTATGGTTCCCATGGTGTTCTACATGGTATATGTCTATGTCACCCTGAAGAAGGGACCATGCGTGGCCCTGAATGGTTGGCTCAAGGAAACTTGTGACATGACGTAACTTTAATAAAAGTGATAATAATTCACACTTTCGTTCTGTCGAGTGCTGGTATATGGCCATGCATTCAGGCCTATCTATAATATGTTTCTGGTGTAGCAGAGTTTATTTCATTTTCTATCGTACTGACATAGACAAGCTGATTTGTCTATTGGTTCTGCAATATTCTGTTACCACCTGAAAATCATTTACATATACACTGAGTGGCCAGATTATTATGACCACCTGACGTTTGCAGGCAAATTAGCTATAATTAGCTATAATTTCGCGCTGAAGTTGCTAGAGGGCCAGACCATTATAAATAGGGAAGTAGGTTGTTTACCACAACAGTAGAAGTGATTTTTTTCTGAAGATATGGGTAAATAATGCGATTTAACAGCCTTTGAATGTGGGATGATTGTTGGCGCTCGCGCCATGGAGCGAGTATCAGCAAAACAGCAGAATTTGTTAAATGTTCAAGAGCAGCTGTTGTTAAAGTATTTAAAGACTGGACTGTCAGCCGAAAATCTGGGTCTGAACGTGCGAATTGTGGCCGTCAGCGACTAGTCAATGTTAGGGCAGAACGGAGAATGGCAAGATTCCTCGCATTACCTTTCAACATCTCGTGGAGTCACGAGGCGGCCCAACAAAGTCATCTCGTGGCCCAACGAAGTACTGATGGGGTGCTTATAATAATCTGGCCACTCAGTGTATATCAGGTAAAATAATGCTTTTAAGCAGTGAAATCTGTCAAACTGAAAAAGACCATTTCCGAAACTCAACTGATTGCCTTTACATCAGATATTTTTGTCTGAAGTGCAAACAGGCAGCCAGCAACGCTTGTCTCTGCTGCACAGAGAGTCCAGGGTCCATGCCAGTCAGCAACATGCATATGTTGTCTGGAACTAAGCTCTATTGTGAAACCTATACTGAGGTGGCAGGATTTGCCCCCTGTCCAATGGCACTGCATGCACAACGTGAAAAAACCTAAAGGATAATATAGCCTGGGTTAACTTCACACCATAGATACCTGGCTTCCAGGATTTTGCTGAGCACTGTGAATGGCATTCCAACATACTCAATTATGACTGCAGTATACTCCAGTTGGAAGGATAATAGTGAACTCTAGCAGCATCTACTAAACCTCCCAAACAACAAATCACTAAAGTAAATCAGTTTTAGATCGTTGAAGAAAAGAAACATCTGACCAGGTACACAATTTTAAAGCAGGTGCCATAAAAGACCATTGCCTACCATGTTCTCCATGATATTTCAGGTGGTGAATCGGCCAAACTAAGATGGTCCATCATTGAATTTTCAACTAATCTGCAGTTTTGTGGGGGTAAACAAACAGCCCTGAGGCTGTTGGAGCACATGGAAGTCTTCAGCCTTGTTTGGTTTGATGCATCTCTGGCACTGGCTTGGCACATGTTTGTTGCCTATTAGCTGAGTCCAGATAAAGAAGGCTAAGTAGCTCTTGGTGCTCCAGAAGCCTTGGAGTTGCTTTTTCACCCCAACAGAACATGACCGTTGCTGAGTCAGACCAATAGCTCTACAGCCAGCAAATCATACACTCTGTTATTGGAGAGCTCTAGCTCTGACTCAGCAGGGGCGTCCCAGACTTTTACAATTAGTCCACTGCATCCACACAGAGAGCAAGGGTCCTTCTCTGCATCATGCTGGCAAGGGGCAGGCTTTTCTACTCACATTGTGGCTGCTTTCTTAAGAAAAGGAACTGTAAGGTTTTGCACACCTTTGTTTTGATGCGCCTGAAATATATTTAGCTGGTTTAAATTGGCCTTCAAGATAATTGGGAGTCTGCAGAGATATACGGTGTGCATACCTACCCCATCACTGAAAACTGGAATTTGCTGATGAAAAGGTGTTGCCATACATAGCTCACATATTTTTAAATCTACATCTTTTTTAATTAGTATTCTGCATATAAATAACTATTCAAAGCATGGAGACAAGAATAACATAAACAAAGTTTCTCTAGAAAAGATTGGTTTTCTGAAATCACACTGGGGTTATGTGGAGTTCTTCCTTAAATAATTCATGAAAGGTTCTGTTTGAAAACAATTAGGACACTCAGCGTTTTGCTCTGTCAGAAAATGACTTTTATAAATAAGTAAACTTTCCAGCTTTCAGAGTCCAATTATCAGGGGACTGCCAGGCACAGTAATAGGTTTGGTAGCTAGTTGAGAAGTCTAATGCAGTCATGACATGTGAGTCACTCTGACCTGTGTGGCCCGGACTCCCTATGAAAATAGGAGTCTGGACTAACACACTGCACTTCAAGAGTTGTGGTTCAATTACTAACTGACATTCCAGCTACCAATCACGCCACACTGGCTAAGGGCAGCAGAAAACATCATTAGTGACAGTCAGAAGATCCTATTTGCATTCTTCAGGCTATCCTAGGCAATGACTAATACCTTTCAACCCCCAAAGTAAGATGGTCAGCCCTGAAAAATGTGCTGTCATAAAATCACAAATTATATCCACAGTTATATTTCTATGTTCACTAATCCTTAAACAAATACAGTATGGAGTTATACATAATCCCTTAAAGGGAATGTATAGTTTCTTCAGTGTTTATTTTTACAATAAATATGTAAAAGAGATCAGATCGATGCATAAATAACCTTAATGTTTTCAAGAATCCCTGTTCCTGTGTATAAATTGTAGTCTGACTTTGTGTGGCTACCTTAAGTGCGTGTGTGATATTACATGCCTATAGCAGCCTGTGAGAAGGATATCAGGCTGGTCATAAACATACGTGGTGGTATATGAAAGCACAATTTCATCAACCTTAGATACATTCAGGGCCGTCCCTACCTTATTCACCACCTGAGGCAGTCAGGAGAAAGTCAGGAATTGTCTGAGTTGTCAACCATGGAGAAGGGGGGGTCCTGTAAATTTGACCTATTCTTGCTCCCACGTGCGTGTACCCCATCTCCTGTCTTGCCTCTTCTAGTGTAACTGGCCAATTAGCTTAACCCACTTACATAATTTAGGGATCATAGGTACCACAGCAGAACTAAACTTATGCCATGCTTCCAGCAGTCAGGAGCACCTTCTTTTCAGACTCCAGGGTCCAAACATTTTTTACAAAGAAGTAGGTAAGGATCTGTAATGAGGATTGATAAAATCCTTGCAACCTTATACAAATCACTTGGAGTTTAACTCAAAGGCATTTTTTTCCTTGTACAACAATTGAAAGTACATTTTCCAGTTATTCAAAGATGAAAACTTTTAATGGTAATGACTCACATCTCAGGAGAATTGTCTTACAAATAATTTTAATTAAGCAGCTAATAAAGTTTTCCTATTTCCACATTTTGTAGCACACATTGCAGATATCCAGGAAAAAGTAATGTGCTTCAAGTCTACAGTCAGAGTAATAGAAGTGATTTATGCTCCACATCAGTCTGACATCTATTTCTCGCCGCATTACTGGCTTGTAGCGGAGGAACTTGCTCATCAGAGGTTTCATTAAAACAGATAATGTGAAAACATTTCTGAAAAATCTCAGCAGTGGTAATGAGATTTTAAATGTAGCGGCAGCAGCTGTGTCTTTCCTTGAAGTTTTCACATTAGATTGGGTCTACATTTCAAACAAGGATTAGAAGTTCTAACAGTTCAATAGAGAGAATGATTTTTGTTTCAGCACAATAAAACCAACATAAAAGGATTCTGTATTACCAGGACCAGAATTAACATAATGCTCCGTGGGCTTGAGTCTAGGGTCCCCAGTGGCATCTGTTTTAGGAGCTTCTTCCTTGTGTGCCCCTATTAGGTAAAGCTACACACTGTCTTATACAAAAGAGATATCCATTTCTCCTTTCCACAGCTAATCAAGAGAGAGATGTTTGCTTTTTCAACATTAATCAATAGAGTTCCTGAGATATAAATCCAGTTGTGTTTGCTGTTCATAAAGGGGAACTGAACACTTGAAGTTGTGTCCAAAAAATGCAGGCATAGGGCATAGGACTAGTCCCCAGTAGTGCCTGTGGTTTCCCTGCAGCTAATCTTTTTTCCATGCTTTGTATTGCCTGTGTCTCAGTGTGGAGGTAGCCATCTTGGTAGAGGGAGGGCTTTGCTTTCACATGTAAGAGCCTACAGCGAGGAGAGCAGTGAACATCCACTGCGCCATAGTGACATCACCAAATCTCACTCCAAATCTTTAGAGACTAGCAGTCAGAGGCAGAAGTGCCTTAGGTTCCACACTGCAGATATAGGCAGTGTAGGCACAGGAGAGCCTAGGCTGCCACACATAACAGGAAGTGCCCTGTCATTTGGGTTTGGGTCAACTTAAAACAATGATGGTTCATGAACAAAACAGCACTCATATTATTCACAATCCTGGTGACTTTCCCTGTCAAACAAGAAATCTCATAATAAATACCAAAGGGAACATGAGTAAATAATATAGATGGCTTCTTATGTAAGAATAGAACATTTTTATATACAGAATATTACTAACCCACATGATAGCAGAATGACTGAGCTGAACAGAGCTCCACCTGCACCTCAAATACTACCGGTTTGCTTGTCACTTGTCATTGGTAGGCTGCTAAAGGAGAAGCCATTCAATATTTGCTTATGCTCATCAAGACTTTGCTCCCACCATGACACTCACAACCTGTGGGAAAAATTAAACAATCCTGAACTGGGTGCAGAAATGTTCTAAGATGTTGGAAATGCATGCAGTAATTAGCACTTCCAACCCTTGCCATTAGGTAGGTGTTCATCGAACATATATGGCCATCTATAGCTTGCAATTAGCGATATGCTATTACTTTGTATTGAAGACTAAAAGCTCGGTAAGGTCTCATTAAGAATAGCAGTACGTGTCTGCAATAATGAGCAAAATACTAATGTGTATTGTTAATAAACTGCACGTTTCTTTAGGTCTTAAAGCAGAACTCCAACCAAAAATAAGAAAACAAAATGAATAGTTCATAAAAAAAGATAGAGTCAATATAAGTTCAAGATAAAATACCAAAACAGCTTTTGCTGCAGTATTCACATTCGCTCCAGAGTTTTCCCCTGCAATACTTTTTGTCTGCTGCTGGGGGTCCTTAGTGTGAGAGATCATTCAATCCACTTCCTTTGAGTCCAGGTAGTCCTGGAATATCCCCAACCTGTGACTGGACAGTGGAAGGAGAAGCAGTACCATGATGAGCTCATCTCTCTGTCACTCTTATCCTATCACTGTGCTTATGGTCAGCACATGAACCAATTGGCTTCTTATACTGCTTCTTCCTATCACACTCCAGCCCTGCTGTATGGGGACTACAAGGGGATCATACCAGGTTCAATACAGGTACATACATTGCTTGTATTAAAAAAAAATGTTTACAATAATCTACTAAAGATTGCAGAGCTGCATTAATGTGTGTTTTTAATATCTGGCAAGCATCTAACTAAACTGTATATCTAGCTGCACTGGCTGCGCAGCTTTAATCATTGCCCTAAAACTAAAAGTCAAGTGTTCACATCATTTTTAATGGTAGGTTTCAGTTTCATTTTTAATTTTTTATATTCTGCATTACAGCTACCTGTTTTTTCTCTTCCTTTTAACCTTGCAGGTCCTTTTACCTCAGTATGAAGACAGTAGCAGTGGAACATCTAAAGAGCCACCTCCACCTTACATGTCGGCCTGAAGAATAGTCGACAACCCAACATCAGAATGAATCAGCAGCTTAATAAATGGCCGAGGCATTGGGGCAATAATACATTTCATCCACAGGTTATATTCTACTGAACAGCAGCACTACCAAATATCTTGTCAATAAGCATACCATGAATTAAATGCACTATGTTCCGCTGGCAGCTATAAACTAGCCTAGTCACGTCAATGACTTCGATTTTCGAGTCATCCTGGGACCTTAGTGCATCGCCTACAGTGTTTTCCCTTTGGCTTTGTAATGTGACATCTTTGAAACCTGTGTGCAAAGTGTTCTGTGCAAATACTGTAACCTTATCCTGATACAGCACTTACCTGGTCCCATTGCTTTTAATAGAGTAACAATGTAATGAATCCATGTTGATATTGTATATACAGATTTTAAGGGTACTTGCACACTTGTGTGGACTGCTTGTCCATAGCATCTTCATACCCTTACTTCCGCTCTTTCTGTACTTTTTTGGTGTATTTACTTTAACTAAGTCTTCTAATAAACAACATTTAGACAATGTATAACTGTAGAACATTGTAAATTATGGACATTGTATAGCAAAAACCGGATCATCACTAATATTTAGGCTGCATGATTATACTTTGATCGTTGTAAACCTAATACATTCTGCTCCAAATAATAGTTATTTCAGCTCACGGAATAAACATTGTTTAACTTTGCAGTGCAATTTAATTACAAAGTGAAATGAAGACTGCATGACCAACCTAAATAACTCTTTGCATGTCCAAAGAATAAAGTGAACCAAATTTAATATTTAATGCGAAAAATAAAAGAGTGTTCATTTTGATGATGCCGTAAAAACATTCATTTTTATGGAACATGAATGGATGTGGTTGGATTATGGGCAACTTAGTTTACAGTGCTTTCTGTCAATGGGGAAAACATACATATAAAGAATTATACATTTGTATACTGTATATATATTACGTTTTGTTTGGGTTAAAGGCTGACGTTGGTGTCCATGCTAAAGATTTAGTAATTCTTCCATTTGCTGCTGCTTCGCTATGTTCAATCGGATTGATAAACTCTCACTTGGCTTTTATGAGAATTTTATTTTCATTCATTCTAAATAGAGTGGCAAGGCATTTGGAATCCGTTTATTTTGGGTATTTCGAATGGCAGAATGCAAGTGCTAAGTACAAATAACCCTTCCAACAAAAACACTGGATGGAATACCTGTTTGTCATGTCTTTTACTCACTGACCTTTTTGTGTTGTCCATATTTTTCTTATAATAAATAATGTTTTAAAATATAAGTGTAATTTAGGGTTATAGGTATATTTAGCCTAAAAAAAATGCTTAGAAATCCTTGTTTGGAGTTTTTTTTATCTTTGCGGTTAATTTTACTATGGTTCGAAAGACGGGTTAAAAAAAGTAGTAACTGCTCAAATTAGAAACCATCTCTGTATTTTAACTCCCTGAAGAAGTTAAGCAAAATCTCTCCCCTCTACCTGTGATAGACAGATAAGTCATCAGTGAAGGAAACAGATGTGGAGGGGTTGTTGCACTGATTTAGCACACCCATGCCATGCTGAGAGCACTGATGCATAATGAATCCTGATAATTATTCCTAGTCCCTCCTAGTTGTTCTCATTTTAAGCAGCCAATAGGATAATGGCATTTGTATTAAACGCAAGCTTAAAAGCCAGATTGGACTTTCAGAATAAATCAGCTAAGTACATTCCAGGTGCATTAAAACAGAAGGTGTTTAAAGTTACAATGTTTTTTTTTTCTAAAGCAGCCACAGCCTAGGTATAAAAGCCTGTGCCTTGCCATCATACTGCAAAGAAGGACCTTTCCTCTCTATGTGGAAGCAATAGTCTCTCTGCAGACATCCGACGCACCTCCTGCTGGCTCAAAGCTGGAGTTCTCCCATCAGCAAGGAGCATGGACTTTGGTGATTGAAGAGCTGTTGGTCTGACTCAGCAGATGGCCAGTCAGATGTGTGTAGAGAGACCACTGCTTCCACACATGGTGGCAGGGAACAGCACAGCTGCTTTCTAAAGGAAACAATCTGTAAGACTTTGCAGTACTTTTCTTTTGATGCATCGGGACCGCATTTAGCTGAATTAAACTGAAAGTTCAACTGGGATTTAAACAAAGCTAGCTATTGCTTTTGCTTAATTCAACATATATCTATTGTCTGAAAAGACATGGAAGAAGTGTGTGGCCCCTGTCAGACAGGTGGTCCGATCAGGCCAGACTGTTAGTTTTTCAGGTAGAACTGATTGGAAGCCAATTGTCACTCTTTGGGCAGCTGGATCTTAATGGGCATACATTAGTTTACAAGCAATTACCCCCAACTCCATCTAGAGCCAGAAAAAAAAAACGGACCTGACTGTGACGGATGGTAGGTACAGGAATCGTATGTAAATGGACACATGTCCGCTTACATCTGACTCCCCATAGACCTAACATGGGTCCGTGCAGCTCAGTATTTTCCTACAAATGTGGGAAAAAACTGAATGGACAAGACTGACATCTCTTACAATCTGCTCCCAAGTGGAAGGGATCCGTTCACGTGTGAAAGGGGCCTTTATATCTAAACTATCCCCTTTAAGTTTAAGATCACTCAAATGTACATCTTGAGGTTTTTTTTTGATAGTGTTCTGGAGTTCTGCTTTCAACGTTTATATGATTTCTTTTTTTAAAAGCCAGTTGTGGCAATTCCAAAGTAATGTTGATGTCCAAAATGTGAAAGTTTCAGGAATATCAAACCTGTAATGAATTATACATTTCTGTTAATGTTGAAGTATTCCGTTTGGGCAGTAGATCATATAATTGTGTAAAATAATTGATGTAAGCTTGCCACGAACGTATTTAATATTTATTTAAATATAGATAGTATGTACAGAACTTATTATGAATGAGAAAAAATATGATACATTTTATTACACATGTTTGCACTAATGTAGTATTTGTGGTGGCACCTAATTCAAGGTCCATTGAGAAAAATCTTAGTATATTATAGCTATTGGATATGCAAAGGATGACCAAAACCACAAAACTATTTTGAGGCAGACTTTGCAACACCATCACAACCTTTACAGTGTCTGAGTGCCACTTGTGCTGTAACAAAATGACGACATTTCCCACCCCAGTATTGCCAGCATCCAGTATGGACATTGCCTTCTCCAAACGTTCGCCGGAACGCATAAATGCACTGATGACTGACATATTAGACTATTCTCCAACAAGACAAGTCCACACAAATCTCGGAGCCCTGTATTGTGCTACTTGCAATGAGGTTGAGTCCCACCAGTTGTACATGTCCCACTTTGGGAAACAAAGGCACCCTTTAATGGAATTTATGTTATTGAGAAATGTGTATGTTACTGAATTACATGTGAATATTTGCGGTAACTATACCTGTCCAGTATGGAGGTTTTTAATTTTTAGAAATGATGGGTATTGCTTATGTTGCATCAATGTGGGGCAATTTGGAAGCCAAAACTTGAGTGATTGACCTAAGTTGCCTGGTATCAGAATGCTATGTAGAAACCGTAGATAGTGGATAGACCGCCTAATTGGCAGTCATTTCTCAGGAACTGTAAATTATGACACTGAACTCTGGGCTTGACACGAATTCTGACTGATGTGAAGGGGGACTGCAATGATACATTCACAGCATACATAAAATGGATCATGTCATTTACAGAAGTAGCCTATGTGCACTGAGAGTAGTGCCCCAATTTTGGCAGGAGCTCCAGCCAGATGCCCACTTGATGTTCACTTCTCCTACACTCTGCAAGCCTGGTCCTTGACACCCCCCTTTTGTTAATTACACCAGAAACACTCCTAGCCACTGGTGTCTGTCACCCACCAGAGGAAGCCAATACCCAGATATCTCAACAACTTCTTCACCCCCTGCCCCCTACCTGTCCCCCTGCAATCTGTAAACTCCTTTGTTGCTGCATTTTAAAAACCAGCTGAGACACAAAGGAATCATGGGAGACAATCTTAAAGTGACGCTAAACTCAGGAGTTAAATCTCAAAAAAACATTCAATTACCTCTATTAACAATACTGGAGTTTATTTGTGTCTTACTCAGCTGTAGACCCTCAAATAATCTCTGAATTGGTGCTGACACTGTCCTTCCTTCTGGAGGGTGGCTACTTTTGTTCCCCACAGTCCCTGTGTGTGTTATAAAGTAGCCACTGCTCCTAGCTCACTCCCATGATGGACTACAATCTTACGTTTGGTTTACTAATTTGTATTGAGATTGTAGTCCATCACAGGAGCGACCCTGGAGCGGTGTCTACTTTACAACACAGGGACCATGGGGGACAAAAGTAGCCATCCTCCAGAAGGAAGAACAGTGTCAGGAACCAATTCAGAGATGATTTGAGGATTTGCAGCCAAGTGATACACAAACAAGATACATTTTTGTTAATAGTTAGGGTGCTTGAATGCATTTTCAAAATGTAACTGCTGAGTTTAGTGTCACTTTAGTCAATTCAAATATTTAGGTATTTAGGATTATTAAATAATGCTTTGGCACTTTGCAAGTTATTTTTCCATTAATGTATTTTGTACTCTGAGGTCATTTTGTCTATATCAGAAGGTTTTAATCATGTTATAGATCGAGGCTGAAAAAGTTCATAAGGGATGGAGTAATATATATATATATTTTTAATGAAGCTTCAGTGGGAAGTCAGCTTAGCATAAAAAAAAACCTTTAGGTGAACCTGTGCTTTGCACTTTCCTTGGAAGTTAGCAGTTCCCATTTCAAAGTCTTGTCTTCTGCTATTTATGTGAGTTAGATGCACAGATTGGGGTTTATTTAATAAAGGCAAATAGGTTTTTCCCTTTGTAATGGAATTTGCACTTTGCAAGGGAATTTTCCCTTAGCTTAATGAATGTGGTAAAATTCATTTTTACAAAGATGCTCAATCAGGAGCAAGAAAAATAATGACCCACATGATTAAATGGTGGAAGTCAGCAGAGCTTCATCTCATTCACTAAGCTAAGTGCAAATTGCCTTGCAAAGTAAACACTCAATTTGCCTTTAGTAAATCAACCCCTAAGAAGTCCACTTACTTTCTACTTCCTATAGCCACTTCTTATGTCTGTTTGTTTAGTGGTAGGGTCTGCCTACTACCGTGACATTATTAGTTCCAGTGTTGTAAGAGGAGAGAAAGCATTCCGCCAATCACATGAGCAGGAAATGACAGTTGTGATTATTATTATATTATTATACAGGATTTATATAGCGCCAATAGTTTGCACAGCGCTTTACAATATAAGGAAAGGCATTATAGTCACAATACAATTCAAGACAAGATGGTAAGGGGGGCCCTGCCCGTGAGGGCTTACAATCTAAAAGGGATGGGCAAGTGATACATGAGGAGGTAGCTGCGCGGGGATGATTGTTTGAGAACGTGATAGTCGAGCGGTTAGGTTGAGGTGGGATAGGCTTCCCTGAAGAGATGAGTCTTAAGTGATCGCCTTAAGACAGTCAGTGTGGGAGATAGACAGACGGGTTGGGGTAGAGAGTTCCATAGAATGGGAGACACTCTAGTGAAGTCCTGGAGGCGAGCATGAGAGGAGTTGACAAGGGAGCTGGAAAGCAGGAGGTCTTGTGAAGAGCAGAGGGGACGGTTAGGGTGATACTTTGAGACCAGGTTTGAGATATAGCCGGGGCCAGATTTGTGGATGGCTTTGTACGCGGTTGTTAATATTTTGAATGTTATCCTTTGGGCTATAGGAAGCCAGTGGAGGGATTGACAAAGGGGGGTTGCAGACACTGAGCGGTTGGTTA